CCCCCCCGCCCCCAGCCGTGGCCTGGCCCCAAGGGGGGCAGTGCTGGCAGCTGCTGCCTTCCTGGGGCCGTAGGCTGGGAGACAGCTGGGGCCAGGATCGGGGCAGGAGGGCAGCAGCTGTTTATAGCCTCCCAGCTGCAGCCAGCCCAGGCTTTTGGTAGCTGCTGATGGCCACAGAGCCCGGGCTGCTCCCAGCAGCTGGGTGGGAGGATGGAAGCCCTGCTGCAAGCAGGCTATCAGCAGCTACCCAGAACCTGGACCAGCTGCAAACATCTGCTGCCTCTGCCTCGGCCCCAGCCCCAGCTGCCTCCCAGCCCCGGCTCCAGGGAGGCAGCAGATACTGGCAATGCTCCCTGCTGTGCTCCCTCGCCACTGCTTGGAACCAGGTAGGGCACACCAGGGAGCACAGAAAGCTGCCTGCCGCTCCGAGCTCCCCACTGCCCTGGCCACACTTCCCCTGCAGGTGGGGGCAGCAGCGAGGGGCAGAACCCTGCGTGCTGCCCACGCTGCTCCCCTGCACACAGGGGAAGTGTGACCTGGGCAGCGCAGAGCTTGCAGCAGCAGGCAGCTTCCCTGTGTGCTGCTGCTCTGGAGGGCCCAGGGGAGGACAGCAGGGCCGGGAGCGCAGCAGGGATGGGGGGCAGGGAGTTTGGGTGGGGGCAAGGGGTAGCAGGGGTGGGAGGCAAGGGGCATGAGTAGGGAATCCTGCCATGTACCCCCTGCCCTTGTTTTGTTTTTCTGGCATGCCGGCACTCTGGCACCTTCCAAGGTAGACATTTGTGGGTTTTGGTTTTTTGGCACTCCAGCCAAAAAACGTTGCCTACCCCTGATCTAGCAGGATAGCGGCACAGATGAAAATAGGGCTCTCATCTCTCTTATCCTGGTTTAGTGCTCTGTCTCAGATTTCTAAACTATAGGTTTACATGAAGCTTAAGTCCAAAGTTGCTTCTATAGGTATTTTAAAATTCCAGTATGCAATTTTAGTAATAAAAATTAATTAAATCCAGTAATGTACTTAAACATATTGCAGCATTTCACTGGTGCCTGAAAAGGGGGAAAGGACTTGACTAAGAAACGCCTGTGCAAGAATTTCTCAGACAAATGCAAACAACTGGTGATGACAAAAAATGAAAACTAAATTGGATTTTCCAATCTTGGTGGGGCCTCTAGAATGCTGCTGTTCTTCACTGGCAGTTTGTGGTCAGTGACAAAAATCTGGATTAGATTTTCAGTGTCACCTGCATGTTTTGAAGGTGGATGTGATGCAGTTATAGATAGTTCTTGGACTTGCAGTTATATACATTTCTGGGGCCTTTACATTGTTCTTTGGAGAGTGCCTGGGATATCACATACTTGAATGTTCCTTCCAGTCTTGGCCAGTTGGCCTTTATTGCTTCCCTGGAGAGAGAGCTGTTTCTCTCACAAGATATAAGACTGACTGAGATAAGGAGTTAGGGGGACTATAATTTATTTCTCTTCACTGGATCTGGATCCCTGTTTAACTGAAACCACATTTTCTGAAAGTTTCGGATGGCTCCTATACTATTTCTTTCCTGCTGCTGAATGCCTTTAAGCAAATATCATAGACATATTGTTTCCCCTTGAAATGGAAAGAGGTCTTTCCAACTCAACAAGCGTGCTAAAAAATTATGGGACCCATGCAGCTTTCATTTTAAAAAGAAAAATTATGCTGTTACCTACTAGAACATTTTAATTTAAATTGGTGCTTCCCCCTCTTTCTGTAAGTGAAAAGTCTCTTGGGAGGCTGTATGCAAAGTAAGTTGTCTTGTTTTGATTTGCAGCTTGAGACTTGGGGTACAAGAGGACCTGGAAGAAATGAAACGAGAAGAGGAGGAATGGAAACGCAAGAAGCAGGCAAAGAAACTGAAGACACACTGAGTGGCAGTAGTTTTGTCCTCTTTTCCTACTTCCTTTGCCACCACTTTGCCTCCATTTTTCAGCTCCTCTTATAATTTTACTTCCGTTTTTCTTTGCTTACTAGAAGGTATGAGAGTATGTAAAGGGAAGAGAGAGTACTGAAAAGCAAGGCTTTAGTTTGACCTAAAGGAGATATTTATTTTTAATACTTGCCAGGGTTAATTTTTTTACAAAGAAAGTAATGCACTAGCACAGATTATTAGATGGAATAAAAATGTAATGAATGTTTCCATTGATTAAACCAATTTTCAACATGCCAGCAGAAATATTAACTAGCTATGCACTGGCTTGCAATCATGTGGGCCCACATACCCATAAACCTGTTTTTCATTTTAGTTAGAAAAAAAATGTAAATGACATTCGTGTTCCTTAGTTATTTTGAGAGAGAAGAATATGGCTTTATGTATCTTGAGTCTCTTGAGTTAAGATCCTTCAAAATATGGAAATGTCATCTTCTGTACAGAAAAAGCTTGGATGTAAATTTCAGCCATTGCCACAGATGCCTATAGCAATAATGTGATCTGTACTATATATTCTTCTGATTCGAGAATTTTGTCTCTTAATAAAAATAGTACTCAAAAAAAAAATTAAAAAAAATTCACAGTTCCTTGCAGTTAAAATGTGACCAAAAGATTACATTGGCATCTGCTATGTCTGGAATTTCAATACCGGTTTATTTCAGGAAGTCAAATAAAGAGCATTTATTCTGAAAAATAGGAATTTGCTGTTTGTATGAACTTGTGCTTTTGGGCTCAAGCATATACTTAGCAACTTTTTTCTGCCCTTTAAAGCTTAAAATTTGTTTAACAATTTTCTTCTGTTCTTATACTTTGAGTACAGTGCAAATATTTTTTTCTTGCGTTAAAAACTAGGTGATTTTTTTTTTTAATGATTTTAAGCTATGAAGAGTTGCTTATGCAAGCAGTTCCAAAGTCTGGCTGAGTACATCAGAATTAGGTACAGCATTCTCAAAAGTGCTTGTTAGGATCAAGCAAAAATGCATTTACACTTCCTCAGTGATGTTAATACCTTTGTAGCTATCATCACAATTTCCATTTCATAGAGGGAATACTTCTAATTTTTTCAGCAAACCAAAAAACTAAGTGTAATGTGTATCAAGAGAGTTCACCTCCTTAATTTGGTGCCAACATTGCACATTTATTTCAAGCTATGCACTGTAAACAAAAACAAAAAAAAACAAAACAAAAAAAAAAGTGTTTCCCTTCAATAATTGAGCATATTAATAATCAGCACAGGGTTCACATAAGTGTACAGCAATTGCACTCTGGGTATGCAGCCCCAGTCTGATGATGTATCTATTTTTTTTAATCCCCCCCCCACAAAGCCTTTTGAAGTTGGTGTATCCAAGATAACCAGTATCACTGTTCAACTCTAATTCAGGCCCATGCTGCCGCTAGAAATTCTTCTAGCATTAAATACTTGAATCATTGCTAATGTCTAATGTTAGAAGCATTTGTCAAAAGTGTTACAAGGGTTTGAAGGCAGAGGTATGTGGAAGAGAGTGGCCAAAGAAATAAGGAAGAGATGGAGGAAATGAAATTCTGTACAAAAGTGAGTATGGACACAATGAAAAAAACTTTTCTTATTGGAGAGCATTTGTTGTCAGTGCTGCCTCCAGGGACACCAATTCAGACACTAAGAGGAAAGGAGCAATTTTGGGAGCAGATGGGGTTTAAGCACCTGACTCTTAATGGAAGGAAAAATAGGGTGTGTCCCTGGCCTAAACCATTTTTTGTCAGTCGTGTAGCATTTTACCTTCTCAGCATATTGGGGGCTACAGATTAGTGCAGTATTAGTAGATGAGGACACCCATCTGATGGTAGCCAGCACTGTTCCTGTATATTTTTGAAAAAAAATGTGTATATTCATCAACACCCAAGAAACCGATTCTTATATAAACATTTGAGGTCATACAACATACTGTAATCTCATTGCTTGCGTACTTAAAATGTCTCTGTATATTTGCTCTGCTTAATGGGACCAGCTGAAATTGATTATGCTGTAGTTCCTAGAATTATCCACTCAAGACTATGACTGTTGGGACCATGACTAAGTGGCTGTTCATTTTATTTTTTAACTGAAGAGAATGTGTGGATCTTTGTCAGCTGAGATATCTGTATTAGCCAGGAAAACAAGCATCTGAATTGTTGAAAATACTGACTGTTCTGAAATGCAAGAACTGTATTTGTGGTTTGATCCATTGAAATTTAAAAACATGTATGTTGCAAAGTGACATTAAGGCTGATTCAGTTTGGAGCATTTCAGATGAACACGGGTGAAATAAAGTCCTGATTATCATTTATTAACCTACATGATACAGTGATACGTTTTAATTAAGCACTCTGTACCCAATGAATTCAGTTCTCTGATCTTTAAAGCCTTTTCTTGTCATTTGTCTTGTAGATTTGGATCACTGGAACATGATTCCAGTGCCAGCCTCCTTCAAACATTGTATACCTTGTGTTGTATTTGTTCCTTCTCCTACTATCATTGTTTACAATTAGTTTTTATATTTCGTGTAGAAATTTAATTCATGGACACATTTGTAATTTTATAGTCAAGAAGTACTTTCTCATAGCTGCTATGGGTTGCCAATGATTTCTGAAATTTTGTACAAAATACTGGATTTTAATTAATATGTGTTTGTGCAGTCACTCCATTGTTTGTAAATCAGCTAGGAAGCTAATAAGAGGTTTGGGGCATTTAAAAAAAAAAAAAAAAAAGGAAAAATCTTGGCCTTATGTCCACCAGATAGTCTTGTTAACTTCATAAAATAATTTAAATACTCTTCAAAAGCACATAAGGATTTGAAGCAAAGAAAAATTCCAAAAATGTCTGTTCTGGCATGTAAGGATCTACATTCAGCTGGTCAGAGGCATAACAATGTGGCCAGGTACTTGGGGCAGCTGCCAGGTAGGAGCAGTGGTGACTTTCGGCTGCTGGTGGGCCACC